ACAGCTCTGCCAGGCTTCCCACCTCTCAGCCCTAGGCCACACCCAATGGACCTCAGGGTCTGCTGTTGCCATTATCTTTTTAAAAAATATATTTTTTTATTGATTTCAGAGAGGAAGGGAGAGGGAGAGAGAGATAGAAACATCAATGATGAGAGAGAATCATTGATTGGCTGTCTCCTGCAGGCCCCCTACTGGGGATCAAGTCTGCAACCTGGGCATGTGCCCTTGACCAGAATCGAACCTGGGACCCTTCAGTCCACAGGCCGATGCTTTATCCATTGTGCCAAACCAGCTTCTGTTTGCCATTATCTGCCTTCAGTTCATTCCTTCCCAGGACCCTTCTCCCCCTCTGCCCTGAGCCTCAGGTCCTTACAGTGCATCTCTGGGCTGCCTCCTCCAGGAAGTCCTCCTGATGCTCTCTTAACCGGCCAAGGCTTGATAATCTGCTACTTTGTGTTCTCTTCTCCTCCCCATTAATCTAGTGGGAAGGACCCAGATGGTACAGTCAGACTGCCCTGGATGGAAATTCTGACTCCTGCTCCTACAAATGACCTTGGACAACTTACGGAACTGAGACTCTTTCCTCGCCTGTTTCCTCGAGTCATGAGACTTAAATGACACAATGCAATTGAAGTGCCTCACAGAGCCTAGGATACAGTAGGTCTAAACATATGGCGGTTTCTTTTTCCCTCAGGAGCCTTCTGAGCTCCTAGTGTACTGCTGAACACACAGTAGGAGCACAGTAAACATCCAGTGATGAACTAAATGAGTTGCTGTGTTTGTTTTTATTATTGTTGTTATTATTATTACAGAGATCCCACATGGGACCTTGGAGATTCACACAACAAAATCAGGAAGGTATCATCTCAGAACTGCGTTTCGAGTCAACAGGCTGATTCCAAGAGGGAGAGTGTAATGTATTCAATTCTATTAGAAACGCAAACAAACGCTCTCTGGTGTCAGGAATCCTGATCCCTTTATCTTCTCGCCCTCACTGTCCCTTAAAGAAACAACGAGATCGATCCAAAAGGTCCCGCAGCAGGGGGGCAGAGCTCAGGGCAACCTGCACACGCTGAGATGTGCCCGCGGGGGGGTTAGTCCAGCTGCCAGGCTCAGCCTGAATGTCTTGGAAGCCAGAGAACAGCGAGCTCCCTTTCCGCTCCGCCTGACAATAGCCTCGCCATGTTGGCCCTTTTCAAAGGTCTCCACGTGATGGACTAGTTCATCCTCAAAGTGGCCCTGCGATGGAGATCGATGCAGACTTGTGCTGTGATTAGCAGAGGGGCCGCGCCAGGGCCCTGGGGCAGCAGGAAGAGAGGCACCGCCCAGCCCTGTCCTTAGCGGGTACTTAGATGGGAGGATAAGGGGGTGACTTTGTCAGCCAGGCAAGGAAGACTTGAACTTCTGAAGGAGCAATAGGTAGAGAGGACACAATATCCAGGGTGCTGCATTAATAATATATATATATTTCTTTTTAATTGATTTCAGAGAGGGAGAGATAGGAACAGCAATGATGAGAGAATCATTGCTGCATGCCTCACACAGGGGATTGAGCCCGCAACCCGGGCATGTGCCCAGACCGGGAAATGAACCGTGACCTCCTGGTTCATAGGTCGATGCTCAACCACTGAGCCAGATAGGATGCTGCATTTTTAAAAATGACTCTTGCGAATCACAACAGCCTCTGTACTAAGCTCCTATCATTTATGTCCAGCAACACTCTCCGGAAGGGACTTGTATTGTTCCAGGTTAGAAAAATGTAACATCTGTTCAAGAGCCCACTGCTAGAAAGGACACCTGGGATTCCGTTTCGTGTCTGTCTGAACCCCGAGACAGTGCCTTGGCCCCTACGTGAAGTTACACCCCCGCTCTCCTGACAGTGTGCCTGGGAGCAAGCCCCCTTCAGGGGTGCTGGGGAGCAGGTTGTGAGAAATATGATGAGAGCCCCTGATGACAAACTCCTCAAAGTACTAAAACCACAGCCCCCGCACCACCACCAGGCTCCCCTGCGGCCTCTGCTCGGTCAGGCCCCGTCTCAGCCAGGCCAGGCCGGTCCAGGACACTCCATCGCTGTAGGAGGGACAATGAGACACGGAGGGATGTGACTTAGGGCAGACACTCCGGTTGGACAGACCTGGGTTCAAATGCATATCTGTCCACTTCCTTCCCTTTTGTACAATTTTCATCTAATTGTGTTGTATGGTTATGTTAAATCTTCGCAAAGTTCCAGAGTCAAACCCTGGAAGCAAGGTGCTCAGAGAAGTCTAGTCCCATTTCTAGCTCCTCCTCTCTGATCTCTCCTTCACGTATAGATGACTGTGTTGCCTGTTTTGCACTTATCCTTCCATTCAAAAATACAAGCAAAGCCTGACTGTGTAGCTCAGTGGTTGAGCATCGGCCTATGAACCAGCAGGTCATGGTTTGGTTCCCAATCAGGGCACATGCTGGGGTTGCGCGCACACACACACACACACACACACACACACACACGGGCAAATGCGGTCCCTCTGGGGACACACGAGACAAACTCTGTCTGCCCTGTCTGCCCACAACACACGATGGGAAGGACTGGACTGGGTTTCAGTGAGGAGGAAAGGCGAGGGCAGAAACGAGACCCGCCCCCCCACACACACACACCCCAGCCCCAGGAGGAAACCCGGCCACGGTTCCTGCACAGTGAAAACAGCAGCACATCGGGTTCCCTCCACAGCTCCATCCCGCTCCCCGGAGCTGGGAGGAGCTTGTAGGGTCCAGCGGTTTAACAAACAGGAGGAATATTTTACTCACATGGTCTTGCTTCAGACAAAGCCTGGTTCCAGTGATTAGCAGGGAAGACCAGACAGCCTAATTGCTCGGAGCCTCAGTTTCCTCATCTGTAAAATGGGCACAATAATAGCAATACTTCATTTAGACTATTGTGGGGATTCAATGAGAGGATGAATATGAGGGGCTTAGCTCAGTGGGTGACACCAGAAGGTACTGGGTTAGTGGTAACTGCTCTCAAGGAGACGATAATGAGGGTGATGGTTATTGTATGCGAATGGACTTTGAGAAGGTGAAGGAGATGATGATGGTGATAATAGCACTGGCACGCAGCTCTTTCTAGTTCTCATTTGTTGAGCACAGTTCCCTTTCTCAAGAGCGTCTGTATGCATGGGGAACGCACAGCAATGTCCCTGGTAGGAGTTTATTTTATTTTTTAAAAAATATTTTTATTGATTTCAGAGAGGGAGAGAGAGAAACATCAATGATGAGAGAGAACCATTGATCGGCTGCCTCCTCCACCCCCCCTCCCCCACTGAGGATCGAACCTGCAATCCGGGCATGTGCCCTTGACCGGAATCAAACCCAGGATCCTTCAGTCTGCAGGCCGACGCTCTATCCACTGAGCTAAACCGGCCAGGGCTCCCTGGTAGGGGTTCATTCATCTCTGTCTAACTGATGGGAAGCAAGGGTTCCCAGGAGGCCAGGGACTTGCCAGGACCCTCAGCCCTCAGAGGAGGCTCCTCTGGTCTTTTGCAATCTTGCCTCAGCCCTGCAGCTCCCCGGGCCAGCCAGCTCCGGCAGAAATCAAGAGCCAGATTCCAGAACCTCTGGCCCTTTCAAGGCTCCAGCTCGCCTAGTTGCCTGGATACCTCTCTCCTTCCTCACCTGGGTAGCGGAATTAATGACCCCCCAGAGATCAACTCACACAGCGAGGGCTTGCTGTGGGCTGGCCCTGCAGGAGGCGTTCTGCTGTGCGTTACCCGATGCCACGCTAGCTGCGGTCACGTGCAAGGAGCACAGTGGTTATCCTGCTTTACAGAGGACGCTGGGCTGAGAGAGGTGAAGTCATTTGCCCAAGGTCACACAGCCAAGTGGTGGAGTCAGGATTCAGACCCAGACCTGTCTGACCCAAAGCTGTCACCCAGGGCATCCCTGACTCCCGGGAACTGCTCTGATGGGGAAAGTGGCCACACAGCCAGGGAAAGTCAGAGGGGCCTCGAGACGGGAGACGTGCTTGGTTGACCTGCGTCCTGTCTGATGCCTCCTCTAGCTCCGGAAGCTCCTGGATGGGGCGTGGCCAGGTGGGTGAGCCAAGACGCTGGGCTGGAACAGTGATGGGAAGGGGTGCCTCAGCCAAGGACCCGGCCCTTCATCCATCCCAAAGGACGGTCCCCTCCACGGGCAGGCCTGTCCTGGAAATCCCAGGCCAGCTCCCGCCTCACGCACTGCACACACGACCTTCTCACCTGCGTGTGGCCTTTCCAGGTGTGAGGCCTTCTGGAGCCTTCTCGCATTTAACCCCGAGCCTGCCGCTTCCTAGCTCTGTGGCCTTCCTCTCTCTGTTTCGTCATCTATAAAACGGGACCCCAGTGGCACGTGCCTCACAGGGATGCTGTGTGGGTGACACGTGATGCTACCGTGAGCGCTCAGTGCATGGCGGCTCTCCTTCCAGCTGGGTCCTCTCGGTCAGCCGCCAGCCCGGTGCGGACAGGCAGGAGGGGCTAGCTCTCCTCTCTCTCCTGCTCAGATCCTGCTGGTGCTTTAAGGGGCCCCTGTCTGACTAGGGGGGCTTACCCAGGGAGGCGCTTCTGCTCCGGCCTGTGTGCATTCCCCAGGGGCAGCAGGGAGGGGGTGGCCCTGCCTCCTCTCCACTCCACCCCTCACTCACCCTCCTTGGAGTTGCAGCGCTGGGCTCCCATCATCTGAGGGCATTGAGTTAGGGGTGCAAATGAGGAGGCTGCTTGTCCCCAACTGGCCTCACGGAGGCCCTGAGAATTCCCATGAGCCTGAGCGGCTGGCTCAGCAGGAGCCAGGCAGCCCAGCGGCCTGGGAAAGGCAGGGAGCAAATAGCTGGAAAGCACTGGAGCGAGAGGGCCTCTCCTGACCTCCGCCGAAGCCTTGGGCAGCAGGGGCAGGGGACCTAGTGGCCTGCAGGGGAGGGCCCAGCTGAAGAGTCTGTGAATCCCACTCCCTCCCTGACCCCTGGCTGCAGAGGCCCAGCGAGGAGTCGTGATGGATGGCAAGGGAAGAGCAGGGAGCTGGAACAAGAGGGCAAGGCAGATGGGGAGGCCCAGGGGAGGAGCCCCAGACGCACGCTGGGGGCAGGGGAGGTTCTGCCTGGCACGAGCTGGGCAGGGGATGCTGCCTGTTCAGACGAAAGCTCATGCCAGCCTCCTCCAGGCCTGGGAGCGTGCCCTCCAGCTGAAGGAGGCAAGCACGGGCGGGGCCGACTTCAATCTGTCCCCAGGACCAGAAACACGGGCTCCAGGCCTTGTGCTGAGAGAGCAGAGGTAGAGGGGGCGAGAGCATTTGTTATCTGCCCCTCTGGGGGAGTCTACCACCTGCCCCTGGACTTGGCCACCACCCCAGGAACGGAGGAAGAGGTTGTAGCCCTGAGCCTCACGGCTCCAAACCTGCCCCAGGGCCCCAAACACTCCACAGAGAACAAAGCCCCTGTCCCCTCCGTCCCTCTGCGGGGGGCGTCCACCAGGCCCGGTCAGGTCAACACCCTTCATCTCGCCCATTGCTCCTAAGGTCAAGCCGAGGTGCCTGGCTCTGGACAGGATCCAATCAGGCTGCCTGGCCAGACACCCCCTCCTCCAGTTCCCCCCATAGCTCCCCTCGGAGCAGGATGAAGGGAAAACAGATGTTAATTTGCTGTCTGTGCTAATTTGCGAAGGAGCATAAACAGTGGGGCTCCGTGGCACAGCTCTGCTGAGGGGGTAGTTTAAGCCCAATCGTGTGCGCTCAGTGCATTTATTCGTCGTTCCCGTGGCATGT